AGATGAAACCAGAGTGGACATTTTAGCAGGACAATGATCCAAAACACAGCCAAGGAAACTCTTAGATGCTATCAGAGCAAGAAAATCAAGCTGTGTGTAGAATGGCCTGGCCAATCATCTGACTTGAATCCAATAGAAAATATAAATTAAAGCTCAGATTTGATAGACAAAACCCACAGAACCATCAGGATTTGTATGTATTTAAAAGTATATAAACATATATTTAAAATATAGGATTTTTATATAAATAAATAGTGTTGTTTAAAGTACTGAAGTTTAAACAATGTCCATTTCCTGCTAAAATTTGAGCGCTGTTTAGGGCTTTCTTAAGCACAGCTGATTGGCCAGTGTGTTCACGTCAACAGAAAGTCTTTAAGGTCATCAGTTTACCATTCTTCACCGTCGTTTACTGAATGCAAACACCAAACCAGCAACATGAAGTGTCTCATAGCCTTCTGATAAGCCAGTCGGGCTTTATTCTGCGATAACAACCTTTATCCCTAACCTAAATGCTTTCAGTCTTCATACAGCATAAGATGACTGAATTTAAAGTGACCCTACTTGTTTAACTTGCCTATAGTGTTTTGCTATTGTTCTTCCACAAGTGAGGTATTTATTGTGTAACTGAAGCAAAGTGAAAGAACTTCAAAAAAGATTTAAGTGCTCCTTTTGAGTTATTAATAACGCAGACTCATTGCATGAAACCACAAGTCAACAGATGCAGGTGACACTGAGTCTTGTTTTAAAATAGCCTCACTTCAGAGACAGTCAGTGTTTGTTGCTAACCTAATTTTGCACATATGCAATATTACATATATTATATACACTTAGCAATATGTTCCACTTTGGGTTTTTTATACAGCCTGCAGACCAATGACTCCTTAGTGTGAAACACTGTTGTATTAGTTGTTGTGTTGTGGCACCAGCGTGCATTTGTGGTTTGCTTGTTTTAAACTAGTTTTAATCTAGTCATGTAACATCAGTTCTCTTCTATTGGTTAGCACAGGGTTATTGTCACAACATTAGTTCCTGCTGAAAGTTGTAGAACTTGATTCATAAGTGCAAATGCTTATAAAACATGGTGTTTTTGTTAAGTCATTTCTGCCTCAAACTGAACTGGATCTTTCCTTTTCTTTTTCAGTTTTGCATTTTGTTTATTATACTCACTAACAACTACTTATAAGTCTACTCTCTCTCTCTCTCTCTCTCTCTCTCTCTCTCTATATATATATATATATATATATATATATATATATATATATATATATATATATATAAATATTTATAGGCAGTGGTGGAAAGAGTACTGAAAAATCATACTCAAGTAAAAGTACGATTACTTGCCAAAAAATGTAGTGCAAGTACAGTTAAAGTATGTATGAGTAAAAAGTAGACCTTTTAAATGTATTCAAGAGTAGTGAGTAGTAGGCTTGGGCGGTATCCAAATTTTGATTATGATACAAGGCTCAGACTTGGTCCAATCATTTATTACTCTCCGTGTGGTACAACAAAATCAGTCACCAAAGAGGGAACATCACTGAAAAACTGACATCACTGTCTCTCCCTCTCACACACACACACACACACACACACACACACACACACACCAAACTGCAGCTCGCCCCTATAAGGACCCACACATTTTACAACACTGTAAATGCGACCTTAGGTTCGCGGTCACCTGTTTGTTGCACAATTTTCGAGGATCTGGCAAGAGATATGCGAGGTCTGTATAAACACACACACATAGACACACAGCACCACACTCTCTCTCATTCACACACACACATAAACACACCCATAAACAGCATCCACGCGGAAGCACGCATGCTCGATCGCTTGCTTTATTTGGAAATTTATTCCTGCACCGCAAGAAATCTGGTCGGGTCCCGCCCGCGGCTCCCATGGTACAGCAGCGGGAATGCAGACCTCTAGTTCATATTTACCACGTTTCCCTTCTCGTTTGGTCAAAGCCTGAAATACTGCCAAACTCTAGAGGTTGTGTTCTTTTTCGAAACCAGGTTACTTGGTGCGCGACTCGCCATCTTACCTCACCTCTCTCTCTCCTTCACACATACTCATTTTTAGGCATTAAATAACTAATATTTAATACTCATCTCCTACATGTCATTGTTTTTTATGACGGTATAACTGTATTAAAACTAATATCGTTGCTATTTTTAGATCCCGCGGTATACCATATTACTGAATTACCGCCCAAGCCTAGTGAGTAGTGAGTATTACACTGTAAAAAGCTGATGCATTTACATGCAATATGTGGATGTGTGTAAACGTAACATTCTGTAGTGCGTTTAGTTATTGCCTAGCAGGCACACAACGCCATAGGATGGTAATATTAGGTTCGATTTAGGTTGTGATGTCAGGTGACCAAAATTCAACATCTAGCCAGCGTCTTAGGACAACGGTATTTTGATGTCCAATAATGACGTTGATATTTGGTTGATTTTTTTTTTTAAGGTTGTGTTAGAAAGTGACCAAAATCCAACTACATATTGAAGTCAAATACTGACATTTATTCATCAGGTATGGCAACCAAAATCCAACATCTGAGAGACGTCAGTTGACAGCAAGTAGGTTGCTGGTTCGAGTCTGATAGACATCATAGTGCTAACGTCCACACAACGTCAAGCTGTAACATCATTAGACATTGATATTTGGTTGCTTTTAGGTTGGTCGTTAGACATTGACGTTGTTGGCCTGACGTTGGGTTCTGATGTCGATCCGATTTTCATTTCCAAACAAAAATGCAACCTCCCCACAACGTTGGGGTACAATGTCAATCTGATGTCATGTTGACGTCTTGTGCCTGCTGGGTGTTTAAGGCCATTTTGGTCATCATACAGTAAATATCCGCCATCTTATCATCAGTGACATAAATCTAAACACTCTCTGGGTCAATGCATGTAAAGATTTTGGACATCTTGGACACTTTTAATGCTCACTGGCTCTTCATCAGACAATATTGATCACAGCATGTTGCTCTTTTATACAAATCTAGATTACATGATCTCACAACAAAAGAAAAATAAACATCAATAAATTGAACACAACTTACATATTCATAAATAAACTACAGAAAAAAACACAATAACAAATCCTACAGTATAAACTAAACCCTAAATAAAGAAAAATTAATCAAAACAAATCCCAAATGAACTATATGCACATGTACTGTAGATGAAGCGCATATGTTTTACATTGTGTTTCATCTATGTTTTACATTAATGTCTATATCATAAAAATACTTTAACTGTATTCTGTTGTTTTTATTACAATTTACACAGCCGTTTTCATTGCGTATTCATTAAGATATGAACTATATAATTAACACTCACAGGTAAAGTTTATTTATATAATGTTCAACAAAATCTCTCCCCTGTAAACAAACATCTTGTGCACTCTGAATATGACTCATCTGAGATAAATGTAATGCTACATTATTTACAAGCAACATGTTACCAATTTTTGATCAGTCAATGGAAAGAATCTGAAAGATGGGACTTTTGTTTTCGTATGGTGGAAAGGAGAGACTGTTTCATTCTTACAATGTCGGCATTGTAGTGCATGAAAAGTCCATATAGGAAATGCTCAAGTGTGAAAAGCCCTAGAGATATCCAAACAAAACAATAGAAGTGCGTCCCTGCATAATAATACAAGGTCAGGTACTGATCATGCTTTGTTCAGTGTTCATTGTTTCTAATGTGACTTTGAATGCTTTGAATATTTGTGTGACATTTAAAGCCATACCGAAAGTGACAGCAGATAGGTTGTACTTCAGATCTTGAAGCTAAAATAACTAGCATTTATATATATATATATATATATATATATATATATATATATATATATATATACATATATATATATATATAATAACTGATTCGAGGTTGTGTCTCACAATCCACATTTTAGCTGTCTCTGCCCTAACATTACAGCGTCTCTGACCATGCCCTTTGCTGTGCGTGTGTGTGTACGTGGTAAGTGCATGTTACCTGAAGGGTTTATGATCTCATTAAACTGGATGTATTTGTTTGTAGTCCCCAAGCTTTGTTCGCTGTTGGCTTTGCTAAACTAACTCTGTAAAAGCCAATGCCACAGCCATATCACCCTGCAGCCCACGACCGGTTAATCACTGAAGCTAAGCAGGGCTGAGCCTGGTCAGTACCTGGATAGGAGACCACATGGGAAAACTAGGTTGCTGTTGGAAGTGGTGTTAGTGAGGCCAGCAGGGGGCACTCAACCTGTGGTCTGTGTGAGTCCTAATGCCCCAGTAAAAGTGAAGGGGACACTTTACTGTCAGTGGGCGCCGTCTTTCGGATGAGACGTTAAACCGAGGACCTGACTCTCTGTGGTCATTAAAAATCCCATGGCACTTCTCGTAAAAGAGTAGGGGCGTAACCCCTGTGTCGTGGCCAAACTCCCTCAATCGGCCTTTACGATCATGGCCTCCCAATAATCCCCTTCCACCGAATTGGCTCTATCACTGTCTCTCCACTCCACCAATAGCTGGTGTGTGGTGAGCGCACTGGCGCCGTTGTCCTGTGGCTGCCGTCGCATCATCCAAGTGGATGCTGCACACTGGTGGTGGTGTGGAGAGACCCCCCTCATTATTGTGAAGCGCTTTGGGTGTATGGCCATACACAATAAATGCACTATATAAATACACATTACATTAACAATGTCTCCCTTTGCATTCAACTTTGAGTGTATTACATTCAGAAATGTTGTTTATGTTTACACAGCTACATTACACATCAATTAAAGTTTCAAATATGATATCGTATTTTAAATTTTATTCAACAGGATTTGTAGTTTTGATTGCCTGGAGTAACATCACATAAGCTGGTAAATTCCAACGGGAGAAGAGATACAGACTGAAATAATGAATGTCTGGGGGGTTTTTTTAAATCCCCTTTTACTCAGCCAGTGAATAGTTTTGTCAAACTCTTTCTTTTTAAACATTTCTCTTGTCCCTGCAGGCCATCTAGAAGGCTCCAGGCCTGTCTCTTCACAATGGTCAACCCGCTGGACTCAGTCAACCCCAGCCATGCTCTGTTTGAGGGCTTTGTCCAGGCGCAGACATGTAAAGAGACGCAGCAAAACTTCACCGAGCTCTGCCGCCACCTGCAGGTCGACCCCAAAGACTACAAGCACTTCTACAGCAAACTGAAGGACAGACTGAACTACTGGAAGGCCAAAGACCTCTGGCAGAAGATCGACAAGAGAGCCGCTCATCCCGACTATGACCAGGGAAAAGCATGTCACCAAAACAAGGTGACTTAAAGAGGACCTATTATATTCCTTTTTACAAGATGTTAAATAAGTCCCTGAGTGTGTATGTAAAGTTTCAGCTTGAAATTAGGGATGCACCAATACTATTTTTTGGAACCGATCTGATCCCAATACTAAAATTCTGAGAATCGATCGATACTGTGCCATTTTTTTAGCCATAATACAGTTTCTATAGTTCTTGTAATAAACTAAAATAATAAATCTTCTTTAGTAAAAATAACAGACCTATAGGCCTACTATATATGACAGATGACACAATCTAACCAAAAACATTTCAACTGTAAACTAGGCTATATTATTTGAGCATTCGTTATGGCATTGATCTGATCTCTTGTGGTCCAGCTTATGGTTCCTTTTTTAAAATTAACATTTCTCTTTAAACTCTGTAACAGGCTACCACTATTGACCCTAATCAAAACACAAATGGGTCTGTTAAATAAAATATTGATATAAAAAAATTACTGTAAAATAGGTTTCAAAGTAGCCTATATTAGGCTAAATCATTTTCTGTTATTGACAATCTATATGCACCCGTCGGTTTCACTTTTATTATTTAATCACCTATTTTGAACACAATGAGCCAGGCTTTACAAGCTATTTTAAATCCATACACGGTTGTATTTAGTAGATGTCTGTGTTGCTTTATGTGTAAATTGGGTAAAAATCCAAATATAGGAAATATTACTTGCTGTCTTTTTAAAAGTGAAATGTTTTTTTCTCTTATATATAAATCTAAACAATTTGAGCATGCCTGCATGCAGGTTTAGTTTCTTTTTTTGTAAAATGACATGGGCATGGCATAGTTGTATGCTAATGATTATTCTAATTTTAATGCTAATGCTTATGAGGACATGCCTGTTGTTCTTGTAAATCAAAACACTTAAAAATCATACTTAATGGAGTTTTTCGACACAAACATTTAATGGATATTATATCTGAATTTAAAAGGCAGATAAAACTATAATACTACTTTTTTATAGGCTGTGAAGTAATTAGTTATGTTTTAAAAAGTACTATACCTTACCCAGGCACTTGCTGCACTGTAAACGTCTATAAACTAGCAGTTTTAGCAATTAGTGTATTTTGTGATTCATGTTTTAATTTTCCACATTCATTTATGCTTTTGAAATGCATTATGTGACCTTGACCTTAAAGCAGGGGTCACCAATCCTGGTCCTGGAGGGCCGGTGTCCCTGCAGGGTTTAGCTCCAACTTGCTTCAACACACCGGCCTGGATGTTTCAAGTATACCTAGTAAGACCTTGATTAGCTTGTTCAGGTGTGTTTGATTAGGGTTGGAGCTAAACTCTGCAGGACACCGGCCCTCCAGGAACAAGTTTGGTGACCACTGCCTTAAAGTTTAAAAAAGAGACTTTTATAAATGTGTTTAATAGTTTTAAGTGATGTATTGTCTGAGTTAGTGTTGTATATTACAGTACAAAAACCTAACAATAAGCTGTTAGCACATTTTCTGTTATTAATACATATTTATTTCTTATACAACATATAATTTCAAACTACTAAAATGTCAATAAAAGTCACTTTGACCACTTAAACTCTGCTGACCCGGTACCGGGTCCGTGACGTCATCGACTTTCGCTTTCAGATTTAAAGGGCTAACGTTGCACCAGATCCCCGTAAGTGGTGTCGTTTGAAAGTGTAGAATCTATATTTTATGCACATATGGATCACTTTGGTTTTTATTTTACTGTATAAAAGTTGTTTACACTTAAATACACAGTATTTTTGGATACCCAAGCTAGGTATTTTACATTGGTTCATTTTCATATTTTTTTATATGACACATGTACAAGTTATAGCTCAAATGAAAGCTCTTGCCGGTGGTCATTCAGTTCTAGCATTCTTTTTACTGAATTATATTCATATGTCAAACAGTTGTTGAATGAATTGTGGTGTTTCCATGGCGCAGAAATGTAAACAATACATTCATGATCAATAAGCAGCCCCAGATAGCACAGACAGCTGTCATCTCTTACCTTATGCTGTGCCCTTTAGGGCCATTCTCCTCTGTTTTTGAGGTGATGTGCATAAGTAATCCTTTTATATGTCTAATGTGGTATAAACACAGTGAATTATGTTTGATCAAACAAAAGAATAGTGAAATATGTAAACAAGGATCAGTCTCTGTGGCTTGTACAGCACCTCTCATCAGTTGGAATGCAATAACTTTTGCATAGATTATGGTAGAGACCTTTTTTTTTCCTATGGTTACAGACATGAGCAGGAACCACAAAAATTAATTACAGCACGGTAGACCACATAGAACCTAAAAGGTACGCTTTCAAATTTGAGTTTATAAAAAAAAAAAAAAAAGCGCCTCTTTTTTATGTGTTTATTATAACACATGCAACATATACAGTTATTTTAAACACTTTCAGTAGTGTTTTATGAAAATTCAAAGGGTTTTCTTTAAAATGATACCAATTTTTTGCATTTACACCTCTTTATGTGGATTTGGGAAGCTTTTAAATTTGGGTTGGCAAAATCCAGGCGGAAATCCCCAAATAGCAGCAGAGTTTAAGTGGTTAAACTGTGGAGTTGAATTTTCGACATTAAAAGTCGACAGGATAGAGATCAACATCCCATAATGCAATTCACAACCGTAAATAAACAGAAAACATTTGTGAATCACAAAATACGGAAACTGTTAATTTGCAGATTTCTTTACAGTGTGCCTTACTAAATAGATTGAAACTAAATGGATTCAATGATTCACTCATTTGCTGTTATACTTGTGGTTTTACTGTCATATTTATTCGTTCAAATCCAGCAAAGCAAACAGCCAAAAACACATTCAGCAAAATATTATTTAATGCTGTTAAAATGCCCCAAAAATACTAATGTGATCGCTCTATTCAGCTCTGGCCAAGTAACCTGCTCTCTCTCTCTCTCTCTCTTTTTTTTTTTTCCTCTTTCTGTCAGTGTTTGGTGTTGGGCGCGGGTCCCTGTGGTCTCAGGACAGCCATTGAATTGGCTCTGCTTGGCGCTCAGGTTGTTGTTCTGGAGAAAAGATCATCTTTCACGAGGAATAATGTCCTGCATTTGTGGCCCTTCACCATTAAAGACCTTCTCAACCTCGGGGCAAAGAAATTTTATGGCCGATTCTGCAGTGGCTCCATCCATCACATAAGTCAGTATTTACAGTATACGTTTAGTTGTTTTAGTTTGAACACAAAGTGATTGAAACAACATTCACAATATGACATATTGTTGTAGATTTTTGCACAATGTCTTTTATCAGGGCAGTGTTTATTTAATTAAAAATACAACCGGTAGTAATTATTAAGTATTAGGTAACACTTTACTTGAAGGGGTGTTCTTAAGAATGAGTGTGAATGAGATTTTATGCATGCTTATAACAACTGTTATTAAGTGTCATTTGCTCAGTTGTGTTATTTTAAAATGCAAAGATGACATTGTTTGTTTTGACAACTTGACATACACAAATACATCACAACTTGTTTTTGTCTTTGTCATTACAACTTGACATTACCAAGACAACAAAACTTGTCATAAACCTGTCATAAACATGATTGTCGTGAGTTATTATAATTGTGTCAATAATGTTTTTCTGATCATGTTTTCAGTGGAACAAATGGAACAAATAGGGTAATAAATGTACAGTACCTAAGTATTTTTGCCTATCTAAGTTTTAGGAACAACAAATAATAACTTGACTTCTAGTTGATCAATTGGTATCAGAAGTGGCTTATATGAAAGGCAAAGTCCTCTAGATTATGCTTATTTATCAAAATAAAATATGGTCATGATTTTTAATTATTAATATAAATTATAAAAATATAATTATTAATATAAAGTCATGCTGCAGTGGAAAAATAAGGAATACTTTGTCTGACTCCCATGAGCTCTGCATCCTTACATCTCTGCAATGACTCCTCCTTCATCTTACCCCAGACATGCTCAATAATGTTCATGTCTAGCGACTGGGCTGGCCAATCCCGAAGCACCTTGACCTTTGCTTTTAGAAATTTTGATGTGGAGGCTGAAGTATGAGAAGGAGCGCTATCCTGCTGAAGAATTTGCCCACTCCTGTGGTTAGTAATGTAATGGGCAGCACAAATGTCTTGATACCTCAGGCTGTTGATGTTGCAGATCTTGTCCCCATACTGAATGTAACCCCAAACCATGATTTTTCCTTCACTAAACCTGACTGATTTCTGTAAAAATCTTGGGTCCATGTGGGTTCCAATAAGTCTTCTGCAGTGTTTGTGATGATTGGGATGCAGTTCAACAGATGATCATCAGAAAAATTGACCTTCTGACACTTTTCAAAATGATTAGCTTGAAGTCAAGTTATTTTTGTCATGCTTTTACAACTGGGATCAACGTAAAATGTAAAAACTGTTTTTTTTTTAATGTAAATATATTTTAAAATCTTAAATTCTATTCTGTTATTTGCGTCTCAAAGGTGAATTTTCAGCACCATTACTCTAGTGTTTAGTGTCACGTGATCCTTTGGAAATCAATTGTACGTATATTATGATCAACAAACTTTTTTTTTTTAATGATATGTTTTTTTGATTATCATGTAATTTGATGTTCAAAAACGTTTGTGTGTTTAGTAAGTTTTGCTTATTATTGATAATGATTGTTAATGATTAATGATGATTTTGATGACCTTTCTTTACTGTTACCTTAGAATTTAATGCATTCCTGTTGGATAAAATGTATTTGTAAAAAATAAATTCTAAAAACTTATTACTTTTATTCAGTAAGGAAATAAATGTGTAGCTATTGGAATATTAACTTTTTTACTCACCGATATTATAGTTATTTATATTATGAAACCATTACTGTTTTGTTGAAACTTGAAATTTAAATAAATATTATGTATTATAAAGATATATTTTTTTAAATAGTTGCCAGGAATATTTTTCAAATTTTTCATTTATTTTAATTTGATCCACTAAAATACCTGAAGAAAAAAAAAACTACAGACCTAAAAAATTCAACGTGTGAAATAATAATGACCTTTATTAAAATTAAGGATGCAATTATTTAAGTAAAGCAAATATTTAAACTATATACGAACCGCAGTAGCATATAAATGCTATTTTAGTTGTGATTCTAAAGTAACATTGGATAAGCTATAGTATTGGTTTATTTAATATGATTTATTTTTTTTTATACATATTTAATTAAGGTCTTCTCACACTTTGCTGTCCAAACGGTGCCCAGGCACGTTTCCCGATTCGTTTGAGAAGTGTGAGCGCTCTGAGTCTGGCTCAAGCGTGGTTCAGTTGGCCGGCCCTGGCCCGATTGGATTAGGTGTGCCAGAGCGCAGTTCACTTGGGCTTTGGCGCGGTACGCTTATAGTGTGAGTGCAAAGCGCGCCTGAGCCCGAAACTGAAGACAGTGACTTTTAAGGGACTGCTTCTTATGGATTCATTAATCATTCCTACTGTTCAAGAAGGGGGTGAGGGACAAGCGTGTTTCGGCATAGTTCAAGGCAACTGTACATATGCGAGTACGCCCTGAGTTGCTAAAAATGTGCATATATAGTTTAAATTATTGCCTTGTGTTGAAAAATATGCACATATAACTTGAATTACTGTCTTCTTGCTGAAAATGTGCATACAGTATATAACTTGAATTATTGTCTTCTTGCTGAAAATGTGCATACACTGTATAACTTGAGTGATGTAATGGATTGTGCTTGTATGCAGGTATCCGTCAGCTGCAGTTGATTCTGCTGAAAGTGGCTCTGTTTTTGGGGGTGGAGGTTCACACTGGTGTGGCTTTTGAAGGTCTAAATGAACCATCAGGATCTGCAGGTACAGATTACTCTAGCTGCATAAGATGTTAAAGTCGTTGAATCTATCTTTTGGTTTGTTAGTCTCATATCTCTTTCTTTTTCTCAGGATGGAGAGCAAATGTGTCTCCAAAGTCCCACCCAGTTGCAGATTTTCAGTTTGATGTGTTTATTTCAGCCGGAGGGGGGAAATATGTGCCTGATGGTGAGCAAAATGTTTATATAGAGGAGTTGATTTCATGCACCAAAATCTTTTTTTATAATGTATATTCTAATATGTGATTACATCAATTTTGTAGATATTTATTTTAGTTTTATTATTTTATTTTTATTAAAAAATATTGTGTTGTAAAAAAACAAAGTAATAATATTTGTATTAATTAAGCTTAGATCTTGACATCCAAATCACATCGTACTAAATGATTTTCTAATTTGTTCACTTTTGCAATCTTTGTTAGATTTAATTTGTAGTTTAAATAATGGATTACATTAAACGTAATAAATAAAAGTCGGAGTCACTTTGTAGTAAATGCTTGAAAAATTTTATGTTTATAATATTTTTTATTTTTTATTTTAATAAATTCAATTAATTGTAAAACAAAATTGTTTTAAAAGCCCCATTATTAAGGTGACTTATTTTATTAAAAACTTTCAATTTGTTAAAGTAAAATATATATTTATATTTACATCTTTATGATTTTAAATTTAATTCACAGTCGCAGCTTCAAACCCAGACCTGGGCATTTTACGGCCCCCCGGCCACATGCAGCACATGCAGACTTTTAATAGCCTGTGTGGTTTATTTAATTTCAATTTAATCACAAACAGGACCTTGCAATGCGCAGGTCTGATATTGCGAGTCAGCTAAAGGGGACTTTCACATATAGCATATTTTGCATGCTCAGTTTCATTATTTCAAATGGACATGTGCCTGCTCGGCCCGCAAATAGGAAAGAATGTACATGCTGTATGTCACGCTCGCGTTTCCAGGCGCAGCAAGTTGAAAAAATCTAAAACTTTTCAGAGTGCAGCGAGCAAACGACGAGTAATGTGACCGTAACCAACCAGTCAGCCTCACACTTTGTATGGAATTACACCGTAATAAAAGCAGACTAATTATCTCAGATTAACGATTTAACTAATGCAGATACAGATGCTCTCAGTGATTATCATTACATCACATCACTTCAGTACACTTGTTCAGCCCAACACAGGCTAGAATTCTCTCAATGAACATTAAAAAATAATAAATGAATGAATGAATGAAAATTAACTAAGGTGAAGCAATCAAACAAACAAACAACCCTGTGGCATTTATATGAAGTTGATATTGTTATGCTGGTCTTTAAAGTTTAAACAAGAATCAATTTTATGCAAAAAGTATTTCAGAGTTTTTATGAATGTTTTTTTGAATAGTTTCACAGAATTTTATATATTTTTGAAAACAAATTAGCTGTATTGGTCTGGCCCTCTAAAGCTGCCCCAGATGCCCCTTGGAAAAATAAATTGCTCACCCCTGTTCTAATCTTTGCTTTTATCTGTGTAAGGCAAGGCACGTTTATTTATTTATACAGCACATTTCATACACAGTGGCAATTCAAAAAGCTTTACATAAACAAGAATAAAAAGACTAGTTTAAGAACATAAAAAACAAACAATAAAAATGATTTAAAATAAAAATTAAAAATTAGGTAAAATAGGTTATAAAAGAATGAAAAAAAAAACATAATAGTATGATCTGTCGGATGTAGCACAGTGCTCATTCAGTCTAATGAAAAATCTATTATAGTTTCTCAAAATAGTGACGCGCCAGCGGTCCGCCTCAGATCGCCTCCCTTTTTAGACCAGAACGCCTATGGGCGCACAAATGAGCGCTAAGGCATTTGCTATTTAAACAGCGTAGCGCAACGCCTCAAAACGACTCTTGCGCCAAGCTGAAACTACCAAAAGACTATTGCGCCGCATCTTGCGCCCCACTGTGCCGGGTGTATGATAGGGCCCTTTATCTTTATCTTTTCTACTCTTTTGCCCGCTGTACAGCACAGTTCTCAACTATTTTTGTCTTTATTTGTGCTTTTATATTTTAAAAGTAAAAATATAAACAGAAAATACTTGAATTTTATTTATTTATTTATTTTTGAGAATGTTAAATCTTTAATCTTTATTTCACTTAATTCATATTTAATATTGATTTACATCAACCCTTCCTTGTTGTCGTTTTTCCCTGTGAATATTCAGGTTTTAAGATAAAGGAGCTCCGAGGAAAGCTGGCTATTGGTATCACTGCAAACTTTGTAAACCGTCACACTAAACAAGAGGCTCAGGTGCAGGAGATCAGCGGTGTGGCCCGAATTTACAACCAGCAGTTTTTCCAGGCTCTTCAGTCTGAGATTGGTAGAGACTCATACAAACATTTATCTTCTCTAAACGAGTGCCAGTTCTTAACTCCCATTATGCCTAATAAGCTGCATTTGGTCATGTAAAAGCTTACATTGAGGTCACCGAGCATGTAAACACATTAACCTGCTTTTCGACAGGTATTGAAGTGCACATATGGTATGTGACAAGAACTCGTTTGTAGGCTGCACGATCCATGGAAAATATGTGATATTGCTGTTGAATATTGCAATATAATATTGCAGTAATATAGCGATATTCCTTGAGATATTTTTTTTGGTTAAAAAAAATAATAATAATAATAAAAAAAAATATATATATATATATACACACACACACACACACACACACACACACACACACACACACACACACACACACACACATACAGACTTATTAACCCCCCTTTGATTTTTATATTTTAAATATTTCCCAATTGATGTTTAATAGAGCAAGGAAATTTTCTCAGTATTTCTGATAATATTATTTCTTCTGGGGAAAGTCTTATTTGTTTTATTTCAGCTAAAATAAAAGCAGTTTAAGAATTTTTTGTAAACAATTTTTAGGTCAAAATTATTAGCCCCTACAGAACAAACCATCGTTATACAATAACTTGCCAAATTACCCTAACCTGCCTAGTTAACCTAATTAACCTAGTTAAGCAATGGCAAAGATAAAATAATTCAGTTATTAGAAATAAATGATTAAAACCATTATGTTTAGAAATTTGTTGGAAAAAAATATTCTCCGTTAAACAGAAATTAGAGGAAAGATTAATGATGGTGAATAATCCTATATATATTTTTGAGGTGCAAACATTTACATTCACTTTGGAATACTAAGATTAAATAATTTGTGAAAACTAATAATTAATAATATATAATATAAATAATAATTATTTTTTATTTTTTTGTACTTTTAGAGGGATTAAAAACATTGAAAAAAATGCATATATTGATAGATTGTATTATTTATTTATTTTAAAATTGGGTTCACTCCAAGGGAAGTCCACAAGGGAAGAAATAAGGACTGCAGCATAAGGTATGCTTGAGGGTTAAAACAATTTTAAATCATTTTTCCAAAGCATTTCAATTTCAGTTTACTTCTCAAAGTGCATCCAGAGTTTTTGGTTTCCCAGAATTTTTATTTCGATGCATCCCTGAAAAAAAAGGTACTTTTTTGCACCTCTCTGTGATATGAATATTGCATTTACCAGGGGTTCTCAAACTCGGTCCTGGAGGTCTGGTGTCCTGCAGATTTTAGCTCCAACTTACCTCAACACACCTGCAAGGATGTTTCTAGAAACCCTAGCAAGAGCTTTATTAGCTAGCCCAGGTGTGTCTGATTAGGGTTGGAGCTAAAATCCATCTAAAATCAAGCTAAAATCAGGATGCCGGACCTCCAGGACCGAGATTGGGAACCCTTGGCATATACTATTATCACGATAGCTATAATTTTCCAATATATTGTGCAGCCATGACCTGTAGTGAAGATTGAAGCACATCCAGAACTAAGCAAACATTTTGCTGTTAGAGACATAGAGGAAATATACAGCAAACTCAGACACTTTCTTGACCTAAATACTCATACTCAATAAAAATGTGCTCTCATCTCAAGCTACAGAAGTGCTGATATAAAAATTCTGCATCTTGAAAGTACCATACACTGTGCAGTATAAGGCATAGGTTTCCTGCTGACATGTAGCAATACCTTTTGTAGGGGCTTTACTTGTTTATTGAACTTAAAAGTTGACATAACAAGTGAAGTACTTGGAATACGATGCACAAAAATTCACCAGAAGAAGTTAAACTAATTTATTAATAAAATCGGGTCATTGGGTTATTTTATGATTGTTTATCAGCATTTTTTCAGTACATTGTTGTGCATGTAAACATACTTGACAAGAATATACCATTGCCTGTTTTCATTCTAGAAGAAAAAAGCAACTTTTTTGTTTTTTCCTTTTGGTCAAATTTAGCAATCTATTGAAGACTGATTTGTCTCCAAAAATACTTTGAAGTAATCATACTCTTTTATCTCTGTCCTCTGTGTTTGTAATGTTTTTCAGGCGTTGATCTAGAAAACATTGTCTACTACAAAGACGACACCCACTATTTTGTGATGACTGCAAAAAAGGCCAGCTTGTTAAAGAAAGGAGTCATAAAGCAGGTAGGAAAGGCATTCAAGACCTGAGGAGGTTTTGAAGATTCCTCAACAGAGATTTTTATCAACAGACGTGTTCAAACTTGTGTCCAGCTCGCGTCTACACTCACAACCACATTTTCAGTCCTAACAGTTATTCTTGTCCTCTGCTGTCAGCGTATACTCACTGGAAAAGCTGCAGATACTATCTAGTTGTGTTCAGACAGAAATGCTTTTGGCATAATAATACATCTCAAAACAATTAATCTGTGCAAGTTACTTCACTGAACAACGCTGTTCATTTTGGTAATCTTTAATCAAAATCTGGCCATTTGCTTCTGCTTTTGGGTGCTTTCACACCTGCCTTATTTAGTTTGATTGAATCGCACTAGAGTTTGTTTTCCCTTTTGGTACGGTTCGTTTGGGCAGGTAAGAATGCAGCAATCGTACTCGAGTGCGCACCAAAAGCGGACCAAATAAGCGTACCGAGACCTGCTTGAAGAGGTGGTCTCGGTACGCTTTCAAACGAACCCTGGAGCGGTTTGTTTGTGGTGAGAATATGATCCGTACTAAAACAGGTCCAACCGCAAAAAGTACTGCGCCTTCTGGACTAATCCAGCTGCTGTAGGCCGATGCGCTGTGCAATATGGGATATGGAGGAAAAATATTTGTTGACAGCGCTTTACCAACAGAGAGAGAGGGGAAAACATTACCTGATGGATCGTTGGTAATATTTACGCAAGATGACCATGTGGCAGTTTAGCTAAATTAATTCACGGCTCCTCCTGAAGTGACGAGTGATGCATTAAACACTGTTTTCCAGCTGCGGCCGCGCTTCATTTTCGTAATGTATAGTTTGTCTAAAGCAGGGATACAATCAGCCAGCGCAGTCGTCCCTCCTGAGTAAAAGGTTTTGTTTGCCTGCGGGAGTTCACTGGCATTTTCCCGCACGTGAATTCTTACCAATCAATAAGCAGTTTAGGAAATATGTTCAACAACATCTGGCCAATGAGAGATGTGGATTTTCTCAGATTACTGCATTTTGGTTCGTTTCAACTGGTTCGGACCAAAGCCAGCAGTGTGGTGTGAAAACGACCCAAAGACGGCAGAAAATGCAACAATGTATCATTTATTGCGCTTGGTCCGGACCAAATGAAGAGAACTACAGATGTGAAACCACCCTTAGAGGGCAATTCTGTGATTATTTCAGTTGGATGGCTTGTGTAAAATATGCTTATCGAAAAAAAAATCTATTTCAGTTGGAAATGCATTCAGTTCAATTCAAGCTCATTTGTATAGCGCTTTTTAGAAATATATATTGTTTCAAAGCAGCTTTATAAAAGGTGCACATTACTGAATTACAATCAAATTAAGAAAAGATCAGGTTATTAGTTACCTTAACTTTAACTAATTAACAAGTAGCTAATAGATTTTAACAGTTATTATATATACTGTAAACAGTTAACCTGCAGTTATATAGTATATAGGTGACACCTACTGTATGTGTGTAGATGTTCAATGAAGTGTAATTGTGTATTAAGTGTGTGGGTTCTATTTTAACAATCCAGGTGCAAAGACTAAAACGCAGGGCGCAAAAGCTAAATCTACTTTTGCTATTTTAAGGACGGAAAAATACGGTCTGCGCCCTGGCACATGGTCTAACAGGATTGAGCTTATTGAGTTACGGATGGGTTTTGAGAATAAACCAATCAGAGTCTCATCTCCCATTCCCTTTAAGAGTCTGTTGCGTCGCGCCGTGGCACATTTGCCATTTACATGGCAGATTTTTTGAGAGGAAAAACTGAACACTTCACTAGCGAGAAAAAAGTTAAACAGAGCATCTGCAGCACAAGGA